ACTGAGTTTCCTGTAAAAATGATCCAGGTTTGTATTCAAATGATTTGAGGCTCTTTCTTTTTCCCACTGCCTCAGGAAGAGGTCAAGAAACTGGAGAAAATGATAAGCAAAGGAAATGACCACATGACTTTGATTACAGTATCTAAACATTACTCAGCACAATTAATTTATTTTGCAACGTGCAACATATAAACAACAGAATATATGCCTTTTTAGCTATACAAATATTACTCTTTATATAAATTTCTTTATGTGATAGATAGATAGATAGATAGATAGATAGATAGATAGATAGATAGATAGATAATGTATTTTAAGAAATACACTTAAATTGCACTAAATATACATAAAGTGGTTCCATTTTAACAATTTCAATATGTGAAATATATTACAAATAGATTAAAATCCAACAAACATATCTTGAAATACACTTAATGTACTTAAAGTTGTTTCAAAATAATACATTTAATATGCACTTAGTATAGTATAATTTAAATATAGTAAGTATGTCTGAAAAAGCACAATTTAAATATATTTCTTTTTCACCTGGGTACCCCTCACACAAAACCTTCTGCTATTTTAGAACTTCAAAAAACTTTTATTCTGTATTATTTATAAGCTGTTTTCCTTAAGGGAACCAAGAAGAAATGTCCCCACAAGGTCAAATTTACTGGTATTTCTGTCCTTGTGGGGACATTTGTTCCCCATAATGTAGGGAATAGCAGGACCATGCACATCTTAATGGTCTTAAAAAATGTTCCTCGTATAAAACGTTTAAATATATCTAGTATAAATATATTTATAATATATCATTATGTATATGAGTAAATATTAATATCAGATTCACCTTCAAACATATAGAAACTATATAGTGTGAGTTGAATAATCTTTCTTTATTCATATCCTTAAGCCATCCTTATTATCACAGCATTTAAAACATTATAGGCCAGAGCAAGAACCAGTTTTGGTAGTGGGTGGTTTGGGGCAGTCACAGCTTGTTTAGACCGGACCTACAATGGAAATGTCAGCAGCTCTAGCAGGTCATGTCAGACAGTTTCTTCATTGCGGTGTATGTACAGTACGTGTGCAGTGCAGGGGGTCATTTACTTTTACTCTGTACAGCTTTGATTACAAAAAAAAAATGCTTAGATCGGACCCTTTTATCATATCATCATCCTATAAACCTGCGTTAAATTCAATCTTTTTGGAACTGTAACTTTTATGGATATTTTTACTGTAATTTATTTAGAACATTTTTTTAATAGATTAAACAAATGCCTGCAGACTATCAATGCAGAACAAGCCACTAATCAGTTCCATAGATAGCTGTGACTTTTACAGCACTCACACATTCCAAAGACTCAAAGAATTAAACCGAACACATGGCTCCCCAGAGGTGCTAGCAGCTTCGCACAGCGCAGATGTAAAAATGCCTTTCCGTGGACACCCCAGAGCCCCTTTTTACAGTATCTACTGAGGGGCCACGGACAGGCATAACCCAGCGATGTATTCCAGATCAGGAATTTGATGCATTTCTGTTTCACATCATTTCTCTGGAATGTTGCGTTAGCGCAGAAGGCCCCAAACCAGAGCTGATGGATTCAAGGAAGTTTGAAAAGAGGAATGATGGGATAGAGGCGCTGCTGGGGAGCGGGGCGCATCCGGAGCACCGCCTCGCGATAATGTTAATGACCCTCCATCTCGTTGCGTAAAGTGTTAGTTCAGCCAGAACACCATGCATCTGGAGTGCACATTTACCCCTAGCCTACTTCTTGCTCTCCGTCACTCACGTAGTATGTAGATATTTGCACAATCATTCGATTTTCCTTTTAATATATAAATAATTTTGAAGGTCATTGAAAAGATATTTCATCATCTCAAGCTTTCCCAAGTGTTGAGTGGTGAGATGTGAAGTCCGTGACGGAACTAAAAATGATGATGGATGCATAAGTATGGGTGGCGATATTGCAAATGATTCTGTTGTTGTGCTAATTTTTTAATGAATGCTGCACTTTTTTCTGGATGTACATCAGATAGATTTGGAGGAATGCAGAGAATCGCCCATTTACATCACTAATGACGTCTTTCGCCAGAGCCAATCAATCAGCCTGGGGGACGTAGTTGAAATAAATATTGCTTTTATCATCAAAAATCTGATTGCATGTGAGAACACACGCGCGGACCGGGTTACATTAATGAGCCAAAATATTTCAGCAGAAATTAACTGAATGGTTGTTGGATGGGCCTGGGGGTCGCTAGGTCTGTCTCAGCAGTAAATACAGCTTTAAGTGGTATTGTCAGGTACACCATCAATTACATGCACAGCTGTACATGTTACAATAAGATATTAATGCAGTGCACCTTTTGCCCTCAGTGTTTGCGCGGTATAGCTATTGATGTAGGCCTACATAAACTTCATGGACACAATAATTCATCTGATTGTCAGTCTAAACCAGAACAGGAAAAAAAGCATTCCTCTGCACCAGTTTCCTACTATAAAACATCTAGACACAAACAAGTACTCAAATCAAATGGGGTAGACATTTAAGTTTTTGTTTTCAGAAACAATAATAATAATGTATATATATATATATATATATATAATTTAATTATCATAGTTAATATTAATTTCAACATTTACTAATACAGTTAAAATAAAAAGTTAAATCTGATAACACAAGATAATGCGGTGAACATTATTAGTTATTTTTTAACTAACAAACAGTAACCAAGATTAATAAATGCAGTAGAAAAATATAATGCTCATTTTCATGTTAGCTAATGCATTAACTGTTAACAAATGAGACCTTGTTGTAAAGTGCTACCTGCATTAAATAATAATGATAATACATTATGTAATTGTTAAAATACACTGAACAAAATTATAAACGCAACACTTGTTTTTGCCCCCATTTTTCATGAGCTGAACTCAAAAGATCTAAGACTTTTTCTATGTACACAAAAGGCCTATTTCTCTCAAATATTGTTCACAAATCTGTCTAAATCTGTGTTAGTGAGCACTTCTCCTTTGCCGAGATAATCCATCCATTTTGTTCAGTGTATATAACATGAAATATATAATAATTATTTCAATATAAAATATAATAAAAAAATATTTATTCATATAATTAAAATGTATAGTTTTATAAATATTCATTTGTAAATCTTATTATATCACATATTATTTTAAAATGTTTTTATTTGCATAGAAGTGTTTAAGCACTGATTCATATTTTTTATTAAGAATGTTTTTTTGTTTTACTCATCTATATGTGACATGCAGCACTTGAAAGAAGCACATAATGTAAAGAATAATAATAATAGTTTTTGAATATATTAAATCTGTTTTATAATAATATAATTATCACATATTTTAAAATATCTGTTTATTTATTTGCATAGAAGTGTTGAAGCACCAATTGATCTTTTTTATTAACAATGTAAGCATGTTTTCCTTTTGTTTTATTACCCATATATGACACCCAGCACTCAAAAGAGGCACATAATGTAAATAAGAAATTTTAAATACATATAAATATGTATAGTTTTATAAATATTCATGTAAATATTATATAACATTTTAAAATATTCTATAAATATTTATGTATTTATTAACATAGAAGTGTTTTAGCAGTCTTTTTTTATTAAATGTAGGCATGTTTTTTTTACTATTATGCCTACGACACGCAACACTTGAAAAAAAGCGCATCAAGTAAATAATGATAATAAAAAATAAGTTTAGATACATATTAAAAATGTATATTTTTATAAATATAATAATTATCACATATTTAAATATCTATTTGTTTATTAGCAAAGAAGTGTTTAAGCACAGACTGATCTTTTTATTAACATAAATATAAATATTTAACATAAACATACAATAACATAAATATTTTTCTTCTTTATGATATTACCCATAGTACACACACAGTACTTGAAAGAAGCACGTGTAAACTAACTAGAAAGTATACTATCTTTCAAGATAAGGCACAAATTTTTGTGAAAATTTCATGAGATGAGTTCATGTAAAACAAATGGACCCTTGTGCCTAATAACACAAATCTGACATTTCCGAACAAGAATGGCAGTGATATCAATTTAGTGTGTATAAGTGTTGATATGTCATCCTCTTAGTTAAGAGCAGCAGTAACCTCTGGTCCAAGTCAATTATACAATCACAATTCCAATCTCGTTTTAATCATTCCATGCTGCACGAGCAAGCATGCTAAATAAGAAATTCAATTTCCTCCGTTATCTGAATACATGGCTCCCCATTGAGAAATGAAGCTGACAATATGTCTTCATTCCACCAAGTCAAAGTTAAATTTGTGCTTTGATTGTTTAGACTATGAGCGATTTTCTGACACTTATACAGAAATAGTTTATGGAAACTGTGAGTGTATCAGGAATCCAATTATCATATCCATGGAGAATGATGGTGGCCTGAAAGGTGGCCAACCTTTTTAATAGCCTTGCGTCACGCTTGATCAGGAACACATTTATGCACACGCCAGTTCAAAGACCACATTCTAGTCTTCTGCCCCTCTCATTCACAATTTGCCTTTCGAGATCCATCAGTTTTCATTATTTGTCCCATGTAATGCCTCTTAATTATAGAATTTAGAGTACATTTTAAAACAATTATATAACCGTGACATTCCAAAATAAAAGCGTAGCCTTTTTGAGTTCTCAAATTTAAATTCTCCTACAAATTTGTCCAATTATGAATACATAACATTTATAGATACATCTAAACATTTCAATGAATAGCCATGTCCCCTTTAAACCTATTTTACGTTTCCTTCACACCTAATATCCCAACTATTTCTACAAGCAGCAGTATAAAGACAGCGATCTATTGACCTCTAGTGGCTGTAAAACCGCCACCACCTTCTATGCGCTCAACAAAATTACTCCGCAACGTTTGGTTTTGGCTATCAAGACAGCAGGCTCTATAACTCTGAAAATAAATCATTTACAACTATTAAATAATGCCTTTATTGAATGATAAACAATACAGTCTCAGGCTTAAATTTGGACATTAGTTTGAGGCAAACAGTTTGGTACGGTATTTGTACATAACTGAATAGTCCCAAAAACACAGATAAAATGTAGGTAAAACACAATTGTGTTAATAAATTGAGCATATAAATTAGTTAATACTGCAGTCATGTCTCCTTGAATGAGATTGCGTGAACAACTGCTATACGTTCTTGCTATGTCAATTGTTCTAGCACAAGTATTAATTATAAATTATACCTAAATGTTTTATTAGTCCATTCTGCATGCTTTATTACTATTTCAAATGTAAAACTGACATTTTTGATACTTTTAAAAAGTATATTAGAGATGAAAATGCAATGTATGCATAACTGCATTGTTTTTAAAAATACATTTACTTGGTCAGTTAGGTTTACTTCATTAGTTTTTTTACTTAAAAAAAAACAAAACTTTTAACCTGTTTTAAAAACTCATGAATTATGGGGAAGAAACATCTGCCATTACTTTGGTGGAAATGCACCAAAATTAACACATTCACAAGATGTAGAACATCACACAAAAAATGTATAAAATCATCAAAGCCAAGGACAAAATGACACTGGAATGTTACAGTATAGACTGGAATGGTGAGACAATTCTTCAGATGAGGCCAGGCTCAGCTTTACCTCGTGTAAAGTCAAGTGGCCTACAGTTTTAGTGTGGTCAGAGGCTAACCCCACAGAGGCAGTATATATTTACTTCACTAGTGATTGTATCTACAGTAACGTGTATTGACAGGACAGCAGATCTGCAGACTGAACACACTATTGGGGTGTAGCAGGCCTGTTTTTCTTTTCCTGCCAGTCTTTCTCTCTCAGACTCAGTTCTGTCTCTGTGAATGCTGCAGGTCCCCAGTTTGTGATTTTCTGAGGGTACTTGGGACCTGAAAAGACAAAACAAAAAAAGATGAATAAGGTATGGATATTAATTCATTCAGCACACTTTTATCCAAACATACTCACAAATTAGAATAAAAAGAGCATAAGAAATTAATCATTAATTCAGTCAACTGCATTTGTAATGGTATTAGATGGTCAGTAAATAATAATAATTATTATTCATAATAATAAATCATTATTTTTATTATACATTAATGATAATCTGTTAATAATAATAATAATAATAAAATATATTTTTATTATACAACATTAATAATAATCTTTTTTTTATATAAAACAAAAATGATGGACCATCGCAATATGATTTTTCAGATTTGGTGTGAATGGGTTTATAGAGATGCATTGTTTCATTTTATTATATTTTATGATGTATGATGTACATAAGGCTGAACCTAAAAATGGCCATCATATGTAAAAAGATCAGATGCTGGTAAATAAATGTTAAATAAAAGTGCTTAAATTAAAAAAGAAAAATCTTTGCGTTCTTAATAATTAAAGAGTACAGAAAAGGAGGTCACCTGGCTGAATGAGCCGTATGAGCCCTTCATGATGAGACACCTTGTCCTTCCAGCTCTTTGTGTTATTAGCAGCATCTGCTAGTTTTTTCATCACCTCCTGTTCACGTAAAAACATACAATCACAATCTCACCATCAGAAGTAGCAGCAAATATATAGGACAGCTCACATTGCACTATTTAGCCACTAGATGGCAGTCTACACAGGAACATTTTTCGGAGCAAAAAAGATCATAACTTACAATCGCAAGCATAACTAGCCTCCAGCTATATTGTTCTAGCATCTTACCTCATATTGCTCCAGTGCACCCTGTCTGTCAGCCTCCAGCTGCTGCAGCTGCTGCATGGCAGACTGCAAAGCGCTCTCCTTCGCCAGCCGTTCTCGCTCCAGCTCCTGTTTCTCTGCCTGTGTCTGGGAAATGGTCTGCTGTTGATACAAGTGTACCTGCTCCAGCTCTGCGCGCTTGGATACTTCCTCCTCCAGCAGCCTGCAGCAGACACACACGCACATGCTCACATTTAAAAAACACTGTCAAATTATATTACATTTTTTACAAGCTTTTTAGACCTCTATTAGACAGGCAGTAGAGACAGACAGAAAAGTGGCAGGAGGAAATTGGAAATACTATGTCGCAAGCCCTTGTGTTACGGTTGCGCCTCAAAAAAAGCTTAAATTATCAGTGTGTGAATGAGCTAGTGCTGCCAGTGCTAGAGTTGTGCAAAATTCAACATTTCAACATTTATTTCTGATCGCAATTCTGAATTTAACATCATTACTCCAATCTTCAGTTACACGATCCTTCATAAATCAGTCTAATAGGCTGATTTGCTGCTCAAGAAACATTTCTTTTAATTCCATCTCATTGCCTACAATTCTGAATACTGTTTGCTCCCTTAATTCAAATTCAGGAGTTTTTTGGAATGAAAAATAAAACATTCACAACTCAATTCTGAATAATAGAATCCATATAAATTCACATACTGTTAATAGAGCTGATTGTGTGAGTTTGGGTAAAGTGATGAGCTGGCGATGGGTCAGCACAAGCACAGGAAGAGAGTTGGGTTTCATGGGGTGAGACAGGGAACAGGAACTGCAGACTTAAACAGACATCCTCATGTGTTTGTGACACTACTCGAACTTCCCACCTTACAAGGAAATGCCTTGCCCTTTTTGTAGGTTGACCCATTCCTGGTGTCACATGACCTTACTCTTAAGGTTTTGTCGTGTCGCAACTGTGTGTATGTAGTTTAATCAAATGTTGCTTTGCCACTGCTGGCCAGATCAGACTACAGCTTAAACCTTATTCTAACATACACTACAGTGAGGAACTGAACAAACAGGCTTGGAAGAGACAGACTGGGTCATGATCACTGTATTACAGACAGCATGAACTTGTTAACACATTCAGTTTAATAATTCACGTGCATTTAAAAGGCTGAATATTAGCATAAGAAAGATGGAATTTTTCAAAAGTTCTCAAAAAGGCAGTGATCAATAATACTGATTATTGTTTGTGTGCGTGTACATATTTACATTTAGTCATTTAGCAGACGCTTTTATCCAAAGCGACTTACAAATGAGGACAATAAAAGCAGTCAAAACTAACAAAAGAACAACAATATATAAGTGCAAATGGCAAGTCTCGGTTAGCCTAACACAGTACACGTAGCAAGGTGTGTTATATATTATTATATATATTATACACACACACACACAAAGAAAAACAAGTAGATAGAATAGAAAAACTAGAAAACTAGTGTTTGTTTGTTTTTTGTTGTTGTTTTTTAATAAAAAAAATAAAATAGAAGATAAATATAGATAAAGTAGAATTAAAATAGAATAGAAAGTGTTAGAGTTAGAGGGTCCAATAAAGGCGGAACAGGTGTGTTTTTAGTCGTTTCTTGAAGATGGTTAAGGACTCAGCTGCTCGGACTGATTTGGGCAGGTCATTCCACCAGGAGGGAACAGTTAATGAAAAAGTCAGTGAAAGTGATTTTGTGCCTCTTTGAGATGGCACAATAATACGCCGTTCACTTGCAGAACGCGAGCTTCTAGAGGGCACATAACTCTGAAGTAATGAATTTAGGTAAATGGGTGCAGAGCCAGTGGTGGTTTTGTATGCAAACATTAATGCCTTGAATTTAATGCGAGCAGCTACTGGTAGCCAGTGCAAATTGATGAACAGAGGTGTGACATGCCTTCTTTTTGGCTCATTAAAGATTAATCTTGCAGCGGCATTTTGGATTAATTGTAGAGGTTTGATAGAAGTGGCTGGAAGACCTGCCATATGTATATATACTTTTTGATAACTCACCGCATTTTTGATAACATTTGAAAAATCCCATCTTTTTTATGCTAATATTCAGCCTTTTAAATGCACATGATTGTTAATACAGTCTGGTTCAGTGTTGGCTATAAGCTGGTCCTGCAGAGTTCTCAGAAAACCTCCACCTCCCCCAGTTCCACCTGTCTAGATCTGCTACAGGATTTATGTATGCCTATTCATTCATATCTTACATGCTCACAGCAGTGTGTCTGTGTATCTATTGGCAGCAGCAGCATGCGTAGCAGATCTAGTGCGCCAACACCAAATCCATTAACATTATCATAGCCATTAATATGCGAAACCTATTCAGAGAGTTGTCATGATTGAAATATATTTACCTAGCCTGTAGTTTTCTGACAGTTTCCTCATCTTGTCTGGCCTGTCTTTCCTCCTCCAGTGCTTCTTCTAAGCGGTGGTACATGTTCTCCAGCTCACGTACGCGCTGCAGGTACTGCTCTAACTCACTGGACTTTTGAGCCACCTGTTCCTCCATTTGCTGCCGCACCTAAAACACATATAAAACAAAAAAATTGACTTTCTTTATTCTGCAGAACAGAAGAAGATATTTCAAAGAATGTTTCAACTGTCAAAAGAATATTGGACCTACATAAGAATGATTCATGATGACAAATTTCATTTTAGGTAACTGTCCCTTTAAAAAAAAAGTATCAGTGTAGACTGGTTTTATGTGTGACTGTGTGCAAATTTTGTGCTTCCATGTTTCCAGTTATAACTGTAGAAAGCAGAACTTATGCTGCAGCGTACTTCCTGTAATATTCCAAATATGGATCTGTGGAACTGAAGTTATCCAGAAACTTAATGGTCAGGATCTCTAGGTACATGATAATCAAAGGGCATAGAAGAGTCAGTGCTAAAAGCATGTTAACAATATGCTAGCCAAACAGTCGCCAACCAAGTTTAAATAGCAAACAATTACTGTACCATTTTCTCTTTCTCCATTTCCACCCGGTAAAGATCCTGCAGCTCGCTCTGGGTCTGCAGACGTCTGTGTTCTTCTTCTGCTGCATTGGCTGCAGCCTCCTCCAGTTTCTGTGCAACACAAATACTTTCTTCATTTGTAAAGAAATCAGACACACATGTTTTTTTAACTTCAGCACAGCAGGGGTCTTTCAGCAAACCAAAAAGTAATAAACCATAGAACAACTAACCATTACACATCCATTACACCCATAAACCTTTTACACAGTGCGCAAAAAAAAAGCACAAAAAAAAAACCGCACTGTCTATACATCATACTTTTTTTTTCTTTTAATCCAACTGGTTTTAATTAGAAACAGCACATTGTTTAAATAAAACACGAATGATCAACAACAATATCCTCCATTAACACAGCTGACCACAGTCTTCACTCAATCACTTTCTGTATGGCTGTGGTCAGATGGCAGGTCAGCGTGAGATCCCAGGTGGCCGTGCTGAGTGACAGGGCAGGTATTGTTTTAGTATGAACTCCTCAGGGTTTGGGACGGCCCTCTCTAGCTCTCTCCCCAGGCACCTATTGTCCTGCTATGTATTAGAGGACAGGGGCTGGGGCACTGAAACATCAATGCTGGACTGTTCTCCATTCAGACAACTGTTCAGACACAATTAGATCAGACAATGAGAACTTGTCATCGCCGTAAATCAAATGATTGTTCCCAGTTAACACTATATGTACTGTGTCAGACTGTTTTTCTATCAAAGAATATTGTGTTGTGTGTAATTTACTGTAATCAGCTGTCAGCTGTTTGACTTTGCAGTAAGCTTCTTTTTAAATGCTTATGGCATACTCCTTGGAACAGTAAAAGATTAAAATCTTATATATTTATATTTTTATGCCAATAAATTATGCTTTTAAACCGTTTCAGGACATTTATTTGCTGCTTTTCCTGCTTTTCAGTCCCAATTCATCAAAAAAAAACTGCATTTCATTTTGTACAAAAATTCAGACACATTTTAATGTATTTTAATGTTTTAGATTTTTTAAATATAAGATAATGAAAAACTAATTCAATCAAGCATATTTTAGTTTCGAAGAATCAAGTCTTAGTTATTGGTTTATATTTGTATGTCAAAATGTAATGTAGTATTAAATGCAGGCATATTAATAAATATATAAAACACTGTTTAAATGTGTTTTTGTTTTGTCTAAAATTTATATATTTATATATATATATTTATATATATTTTAAAACAATATATAAATACCAAAACACGTTTAAACATCTAGTCGAACAATCAAGTATTAATTATTGTTTTACTTATTAATTATGGTTTCACTAGGTCTATATATATATATAAAATGATGAAAAACGTATTCAGTAAAGTATATTTTTGAATGTTTTCAAATTGTTTATTTTGGTTATTGTTGCATATAGTTAGTCAAAGAATCCAGTCTTAATTATTGGCTTATATTTTTATGCCAAACATGTAATTTAGTATAGTGTAAAGTCTATAAACTAAAAAATTGACTGACATATCCCTTTCCTGCACACTACTCAACATTTGAGTGCTGACCATTAAAATCTCACAAGTGTTTGTAGGTTAACCAATGTGCTCAATATGTCACATGGTCATGCTTATCTTACTGATTTAAATCCACTTGCTGATGACAAAACTCATTGGGGATAAGTCTGGCTAAACTCCGATTTAACAATATTAAAACACTCAACCAGAAAAGATAATCAGGATAACGAGAAATTAGATGAAAGGAGGTTAAGAAGGGTTAAATGCAAAACCACAATTCTTCCAAACACCCAACCCCCAACTCTCACACATACATGCTCAATCCACATCTCTATATTGGGTGTGAAACCATACACTTAAGCTAATCTAATTTCAGCTTTCAGTACAGGCCGTTTAAGATGAAACAAACTTCTGCTGAAAGGTTTCTGTAGAGGACCTGAATAGGGAAGGTGGTACTTGAAATCAAAGATGAGAGTTTCAGTGAAATCAGAATTCATGAATAGCAGAGAGAGATTACAAAGAGCCACCACGGGTTCCTGGGTAAACACTGTTTCATGAATGGTCAGTGTGGCAACAGACACAGTTTCTGTTTCACTCATTAAACTGCAGTGCAGGGGGCATGTTTGTAGTGTTGTTCCAATACCGACAGCACTTTATCTTTTCTTTTTAAATGCAAAAAGCTGTGTTGTCATTTCCACATGAATGACTAAATATCAGTCTTTCTACAAGTCCAATAATTGTACAAGTGTACATGGACACATCTTGTATGGATTGTTTGTTTGTTTTTTTAATCACTGAGTAACAGACATATTCTGTATAATAAAATGTAGAAGGAACAATGTGACAAACCATGCAATTTCCAGTAAAAGGCCTGAGAGAGACATTTGTTTGTGTGAGTTGCTAGAAACATAGAGAGATTGGAAGCTCAGCAGCTGCTGTTGTAGAACACTACAGACCTTCCTCAAGGCCTCCAGCTCTCTCTGTTTGTTCTCATTGGCCGTCTGCAGCTCTCTCATCCTCAGCTCCAGTTCTTCCTGCTCAGATTGTTGTTTCTGTCGTAACTCTCGCCGCTTTTGCCGTGCCTCAAGGTGTGGAGCTGGACGTCCCACCTTCAGGAGTGTGATACAAGTCTGAATAGCTAAGTGGGCATAAAGCACAGAAGTTATATACTTCAATATGAACATAACACTATATATACACAGTACTAAACACTGGGTAAAAAAAAATATAATTCAAATAGAAAAGTTATTTTAAATAATAATAATACTACATAATTTGCATGAGAGACTTCTTTCAAAAACATTAAAAAATTATCTCACCAGTCTTAAATTTGGCCAAATGTTCCTTATTAGAAATATTTTCCACATTTTTGAACTATAGTCAAAATTAATATAGAAATTATGTAGTGACTTAAAATGTGTTATATTTATTTTGCTTCTTTGAAGTCGCCACCCTGAAATACTGAATGTGTGCTGGAGTCTTGTTTGCTGTTTTCCTTCATTATCTAGCCCAATCCATTCATCAACTATTTTTTTTAAATCATATTTTATTTTGTAAAGAAATTCATAAGCTGGCATAATTTGTAATCATTTTGAGCAATTTAAACATTAATATTTAAATCAAAATGTTTGAAATAAAAACATTTTTTAAATGAGTAAATGTAAACTCAGTGTGACTGAACTTTTGACTGGTAGTCTCTATTTTATTTCTGTCAAAGCCACAATAGAATTAATCATCAGAATGAGTCAAATCTGACCTTGAATCCACTCTTGTTTTTTCTTCTTATCAGAGGCGCTTATTTCAAAGCTTTTGTCAGAGCACTTGACGTAGAAAAGGCACTTTTTCCCCTCTTTATCAGGTAAGGACTGCAGAGGAATGCGTGAGGTCATCACAATAAGAGGAAAAGGAAATGTGTCCGTGAGAATGATGTCACCATAAAAATTATTTATGCATTTAGCATTACTTACAGTAAAAGGCAAGCTAAAATATTATTTAGAATAAATCATCACTCATCTCTGATGAGCCCTTACCTCAACACAACAGTTTCCATCTAGTAGTATGTCTCCTTTCTTTTCTGTGAGATCTTCACTAACATAGTATGAAATTAAGTTGGGCTTCAACAGGAACCACCGTTCGGTCCAGTTCTTCCTTTTGTGGCCCTTTTTCATCATGTAGCCCTGAAACAGGTCAAAGGAACAGGTCACATTGCAGTTCAGTTGACAGTTTCCTGCTGGTGGAAACAACAATGAGTCCTGCTCCTCAAATTATCTCCGAGTCGTTCTGTATCACTGTGACAAGTGCTAAAAGTCTGGATCCTGCATGCTGACTCACATATTCTTTTTTTCCTAAGGCCTCATTAATGCTAAATGCACATTTCACGCCATGTAAATACTGCATCCTGTTTAAGCATCGGTTTCATATGACTTAGTTAATCTGTATCTGATCCTGACTGTGGCTGCACAGCTGGCCTTGGCACCAATCCTTCTCTCTCATTCATAGTCAAAGCAGAAAACAACACTGATGCCAGTGTGCTTTATTCACACTGCCCTTAGATCTCCAAAACATACAGACTTCAAAACACAGGCAGCTGATATCATGGCTGAAGTCAGTCTACTAAAGGTCATTATTAGCAGATGCATACTGCATAGGCTACATCCAGGCATGACCTACTTTCTTAAGCATGAGGAAATGGAATTGTAACAGGTTTGACAACAACCGGGCTGGTACAATCAAACAGTTTGATGGCCGATTAAAAAGTATTTATGGCCAGTAGATTTTAGAATTCGAACGCCACTGGGAGGCATGGCAAAAAGTACATTTTGGATCCTGTTTGTAAGTGTATACTCTATACAGTTTCTATTATACTGGAGGCGTACTCCTCTTACCTGTTTGAGCATATCCAGTATAAGTTCCTGGAACACCTCATTAATGCCCATGGAGAGGGTCTGGCGGTCCATGCCCTTACTGAAGTGACCCATACCCACCAACTCAATCAGCTCCCACACGTTCAGACACTGGTGCTTGCTGCTCAGCTGGATCTTGTATTCTTCAAACTTTTCCTCAATCCAGCTGCCACCCATGGCTTCTGTTAGCTTACGAAGGAAGTACTCTATCTAAGGGTGAGAGCATAAATTTAAATGTGAAAATGGCATGTATTTTCATGGCCCTAAAACAAATGCACATGTTTGTTGTTAGATGCTAGTAGTAGTTGTTCTTGTGCAACAACACATTCAGCAAAAAAAAAATTTTATGACTGAAGGACTGTTCTGATTTAACTAAGAATAACTATAATAATCCTGATATTGTTCTCTCTTTATTAAGTAAAAATATATTACCCTGACATAATAACAGCAAGCTGACAACTTCCTTTTTAAAAGATTGATCACAATCATAACCAGAAGTTTATAAAACAGAAGTACCAAAGAATAAAAATCCTATTTACATAAAAAATATCATGGGAGATTAGAAATGGGAACTACACTATTAATGTACATGTACATTTGCATCACTTTACAAATGTTTCTACCAAGCCGTTAGGTTCCTTTTTGTAAAATTTTGTTGCAGAATTTAGCAAAAATATAGTTATCCTTCTCACCTCCTCTGAGACCATGACCAATGGATATTTATCCTCAGCGAGGAAGTTGAAAATGCACCAGATCTTAAATGCATCATCATCTGAGATAAGCAGGTGATTTCTGTTGAGGTTTTTTCTAGCACACAGAGTCCAGCACATCCTGTTAAAATCCATTCGGTCAAAGTTGTCCTGGACCTGCAGAAAATAAATGTCCTCATGAGACTTTATCGAACTGAGAAATGCAAAAACAATGGGTAGATGCCAAAAACAACAATAGAAAAAAAATGTAAAATGTTAGAAAGATTCAACTCTAATCAGATTTGATGTACAGATCAGAATGAACAAAATGTCCTGATTCTGGTTTACAAGTGCAAAGAAGGCCTGAAACCTATTCAAGGCACACACAACACTGCAAATAAGACATGTTTTTCCCCCAGTACTTAACTAGAGTTCCCATGGATACTTTTGGAGTGTTCTGGGCACAGCTTTGCATCCAGTGCCCATCTGACTAGTGCTGAACATTCTGTTGGGAAAACTGCTAAACATTTTAGCAAAGCAAGCTTAATGTCCTGACAAACCCAAACTTAATTATGTCTTCAAATGGCAAAATTCAAATTATAAAGTACTAAACTTGGACACAATAAGTCTGACAAAAGCTAACGGAAGCTAGTCTACTCTAGCACATATTACAGTTGTTATTTAATATTAATCAAAATGCCTCTAAATATTATTGACAAAGAACAAGAGAAGATTAAAAAATAATAATTTTAATTTTAACAGCTGTTGTTTGAAAATGTTGCATGTTTGGTTTTCAGATATTTTGTGTAATTTATCCTTTCAGCTCCGATGAAAAAAAAAAATCACATTTCAATCAATTCAACAGAATTCCACATATTTTATACAGAAATAAGCACGGAAAATGTGCAGATTTCATCTGGGGTGGCAAATGACAACTTAAGCCTACAGCTGGCTTAAACTGAAATCTAATTAATTCACTGCTATGAACTCATACATTAAAACCAAACCACAAGAAGAAGCTGAACTGCTCAAATGACCTATTGTAGCTATTTATAACACTATTTATAGTCCTCCTGGAGTAATGTGAGCAACAAAAGAGACCAGACAACTCCCCATGAATCACTGTCACTGTAATCCACCAACTCGGTTGCAGTGGTGTAAGTATGTTTATTTTGAAATGGCAGCTCCTCTTTACAAGTATATGTGCCAGACTTCATCCCTCGCTCACACCTCCCATCGTGCCCCGGCTTTCTCTGGGAGACTCACAATAGGGGCCTTGTGGAGACCTGAGTGGCCAGTGGAGCCTCTGTTCTTCTCCAGATGAAGCTGTTCATTTGTATTCAGTGGAGCTCGGGCTCTATCACATTCATTAATAGACTTTATCACGCCTGTGAATAACTGCTTTATAGTTTCTCTGACTGTGAGGGGTCGTGAGGGTGAGAAAGTCTTAAGTTTTACAGTAGGAAGTGTTTGGGATGAGCAAGACTGCATGGATTCTGACAGCTAGTCAATGCAATCAGTTTTTTTAGTGAATATTTGTAGCTATAGAGGACCTACATGTATAATCGAATGACACACATTGAATATTATGAGCTAGAAGTCACATAACGCAGTCAACTATTTAACTATTTAGTTATCCGTACACTATCCTATACTTTACAGTTACTTAGACTTAAAATACTGATTTGAGTTCAAACTTCAAAGTATTTTATTTTGCAAGGAGAAAGATGCTGCTGAGTGATACATTAAAGGAGTGGTTGATTATGATTTCACTTTTTTAACTTTAGTTAGTGTGTAATGTTGCTGTTAGAGCATAAAAAACATCTGCAAAGTTACAATACCCAAAGTTCTATGCAAACGTAGATATTTTCTTTTAAAGAAATGGCTATTTAAGAACTACAAAAAAAGGCTGGTAGGGACTACAACGAGCTTCTTCACGGGTTTGTGACTTCACAAACCCCGATGTTTACATAAACCCTGCCACCGGGAACATGCAACTACTCGTAATGGTAAGGGGGCGTGACGTTTCCGGACAACGTGCACTAGCGAATCACAACACACTGGGCCAGCTAACCAATCTGAGCCCGTTTGCGTGTTTCTGAGGGAGGGGCTTCATAGAACCAGAAACTCAATAGACCGTTTTGATGAGAACAGAAACAGCAGTGTAGAATAAAGGTAAAATATGTGAAAATAATGTTGTTGTTTTTTAACTAAGCATGAACTCATGTTACACTGCACCTCATAAACACAATCAAGCCTTCGAAAAAAGCTGATCAACCACCCCTTTAAACTAGCACATGTAGGAAGTTAATTGCCTGGGACAACAGTCAATTATATACTTTAGTGATCATTATTCAAACATAACTGTATATACATAACTGTAGAATGCTGTGACTGACCAGTAAGAATTAAATATAAAATTATGTACACTGTTCAAACATTTGTGGTCGTTAAGATTGTTTAATGTCTTTGAAAAAAGTCTCTTATGCTAACAAAAGCTGCATTTATTTAATCAGAAAATGCAGTAATAATTTTATATTGTGAAATATTAATTTTAAAATGTAATTTATTCCTGTGATGGCACAGGCGAATTTTCAGAAGCCATTATTTCAGTCTTCAGTGTCACATGATTTTTTTTTCAATATTCTTTGTTCAAAAGAACTGAATTTATTTAAAATTATCTGTAACAATTTTATTGTCACTTTTTCAAATAATTTGAATAAAAGTATTAATTTTATGAATTAATATTAATTAAAAATCTTACTGACCCCAAACTTTTAAAAGGTAGTGTATGTTTCCTTTAACCATCACCTAACCATCGTCTCAAGTAAAACATAGCTGAGAAACAAACTCATTTTGATCTCTGATCATACCGTGGTCACAGCATGTTATACTAGAGCATAACCACACTACGTATTAGAAATAGTGGGCCACAAAGCACTAGCTGTTTTGATAGCGTCACTCTATTTTGGGCTTGTGCTAGTGAACGGGTCTGCATCTTTTGTTCCTCAATTGACATCAGAGCACTTTACAGACAATGCATTCCTGGAATCAAGTTAGCTGAAAGGGTGAGAAAGATGTGGGGCATAATATACCCCAAAAAAATCACAATCAGACATCATTGTAAAATGAGAAGTAATATGTGTGACTAAGCTGATAGTGTACTATCTCAGACAGAAGTCAATGACTATGGGTGTGTAAATGTATAAGTGTAAAACCAAGTAAAGCACTGTAACTTGTTTTCTCCCTCTGACCACAAGTTAATTTGCTTGGCTGAGAGTCAAAATGGAAGGCAAAAAAAGGGGAAAGGCGGGTCTCTTTGCAGCAGGGTGGAGTATGTGTTTGGTCACTCATACAACCATACAATTAAAAGCAAAAGTGTGACCAGAGAAAGCTTACAATACGTGGCTAGTGATGTAAATCCCCAAAGCGTGCTAAACATGAGACCTCAGACAAACATAAAATAGGCAAAAGGTATATTTTGTCTTTCCATTGTAGGAATTTTAAGCACTAAAATTCAACATTGCCTATAATAGCTTTCAGCAGCTAATTATTTTTTCCTAAAAATCTTAATGCTTTAATGCAGAACTTAATGCTTTGTGGAGCATTGTGAAATCTCTTCCCTCCGTCTGTTTCCTTTTTGCACAAGAAAATGAGAAATTACAAAGAAAGCAATTCTTCCATGTTACTTTCAACATCATTTCTCTCACAAAAAGAAACAAATTCTCATGCCTGGAGGCCTTTCATTATGTTATCTAACATTTACTTTAAATAGATCTACAGTAAATGCACCAGTTGCTTTAGTCAAATTGGGGTTAGTGTACCATGAGGATGACAAACTTTCACATTAGAAAATGAACATCCATAAAAGAATTACAGCATTTATCATCAAACGTAAAGCTTAGCATGTAAAACCACATGCTGTTTAGAAGAGTGGTCCTCAAAAACATTTTTCACTCTAATACAGTCTGCATACATTTTATCCAGACTAAGATTAAAATCCAAAAAAGCGGGAAATCCAAATATTTTTTCCCAAGTCAAACTGCCAACAGAAAAGCCCTATTTGGACAATGACAAATGTGCTCACCTTGTCCAGAATGAACCTGTTCAGGTGAGGCATGTATCCCTGATTGGAAACAGGACCTTCATCATCATCTCTAAAGTGTTCCTCTAGAGCAACAGGATCATGAGGGATCTTCATCACTGTACACAGGTTATGGGAAAGCACCTGAAAGACACCACTGAGTTTAACACCAAAACATATCCAATAATAACAATAATCATCATCTAAATCAGTGCTTAAACACTTATGAAGTAGTGATTTTTAGTAGAATATCATTGTAGCATTCAATCACTTTGTGTATCCACTATATATTTGGAAGAACCTGCATCCAGATATTACATCATACAACTATCCCATATACAGGTGCATCTCAATAAATTAGAATGTCGTGGAAAAGTTCATTTATTTCAGTAATTCAACTCAAATTGTGAAACTCGTGTATTAAATAAATTCAATGCACACAGACTGAAGTAGTTTAAGTCTTTGGTTCTTTTAATTGTGATGATTTTGGCTCACATTTAACAAAAACCCACCAATTCACTATCTCAACAAACTTTTCCACGACATTCTAATTTATTGAGATGCACCTGTATATTCTTACCATTAGTATTGATATAATTAGCTTAATTTCCAAAACAAAACTCTTCCATTTCATCTGAATGTATTTAAATATGGATACACACATTTTAAACAAATTCAAAGGTTTGGGAAGGATTAGAAAATACCTAAAGGTTTGTCATTATTCGGGTTGCAGTTATATATTATCTAATACCTCATCCGTAACACACTACAATCAGATACCAGAAGCAGAATTCTCTGTGCCACGAGTACTTTATAAGTACACGAGTTTTTAAATTTCGAAACAAACTACAGTTTGAAATTCTAAAGAAAAAAAGTAACTTGAAACAATGTTACATTCACAGTCAGTGCAGCTAGTATGATTCACACATCCTTAAACTCTAAGAATTTCCTGCACTGAGCCATTGTAACAGCGCTTACACTCCAGTGCCCAATCTTAAAAGAACAACAAAGTTGATTCAGTGGCAAAAACAAACCTTCAGCTGTGACTTAGACACTTTCCCACTTTTATCCACATCCAGGGCTGTGAATGCATGCCATATTGCCTTGAGGAGCTCGTCCCTTAGTGCCATTTTCAGAAGTAGTGCCTCCGGACTACTGACTGGCGTCGCGCTTGATGTGAACTGTTTTCTCGAAGTTTTACAAAAGAGCGGTCACATGACCTTAGAACCAGAACTGAACTGAACTCGCGGTTCGAGCACCACTCAGCGATGAGCGCGTGCTGCTGAAGGATTTGGCAGGAATTTATGACATCATTAAGCATTTACCAGGCTGATAATTATAAACCTCCCACAAACTAGAATATATTTTTACATAATATTTGTGTTTCAATGGTGTTTACAAAGGTTTCAGTAACCGCAAAGGTAATGTTAGATGACATGTCAAAATTAATCTCTAACGAATGGAAGTTGTGTTCGCCAGAAGGTAACCACAGAAACAGCAAGTTGTTTGAGCGCTTTAAAGGGATCATGAACTGCCTTTCTTTTTTTTTTTGCACCGTTCTCTGAGGTTAATACGGAGCCCGGGAAGTCACCTGTAGGAGAAAAAAAAAACAATCCGTGGCGACGGGTTTGCAATCCGTCCCCTCAGTTTATAAACCGTACTCACGAACTGTTCCCTCGGTTTAACAAATCGTGCCCACGGATTAATAAACCGTACCCACGAATTTCCAATCCGTGCGCTCAGATTTTGTAAACCGTACCTTCGGTTTTTGAATCCGTACCCACAAATTCATAATCCGTGCGCACGCTTTCGCAATCCGTTCCCTCGGGTTTGTAAACTGTACTCACGGATTCATGCAGCAAGCTCCTAGGTAGCCTACATGTTAACAAATCATATTGTATATTGTTTTATTGCATATTATTATATGGAATAGGCCTACAGCAAATTGTCTTAAGTGATTCTCTCTATCAATTGTAACGGTACGAGGTGGAATACAACGATTTAATAAGAAAGATAGATGTGCATCAAAATCTTTGTGATAATCTTAGCACTTGATTATTATTGTATAATAAACCTGGCTTTGTGACTGACTTTGGAGTCATTTGTTCCTCTTTTGTAAGTCGTTTTGGATAAAACCTTCTAAATGCATATGTAACCTAAATGTATAATAATAATAGTAGCTATTATTATTATTATTATTATTATTTTAATTTATAGGCTAAATAAATGAGTGCACTTAAGACAGTAAAATGTTTGTCATAAAATAATTCATGAATGCTTTATTTTTAAATAACCTTTTACAGTTTTGGAGCTGTGTTTGTGTACTATTAGGGCACGATTTGTTAAACCGAGGGAACAGTTTAAGAATTCGTGAGTACGGTTTATAAACTGAGGGGACGGATTGTTTTTTGTTCTCCTACAGGTGACTTCCCGGGCTCCGTAGTGGTTCACTTATAATGGTATCAAGATTTTTACATCAAAAAACAATTTGGAATAGGCTATTTTCTGTCCTGTTTTGACCCCCCCTCATCTGAACGCTCTGTTTAAATAGGCATGGCGAATTATAGACTCGGAAACGCCTACTGGTATGAAGGAAGGCAATGCAAAGCCTGTGTTTTTCCACAGCTTGTTGTCTTCGGAGCATCTTTATCGTTTGGTTTCTGCATAGACCTGTGTTTGCATCTCTTGTTATTTACACCAGGGCTGTCCAAACTCGGTCCTGGAGGGCCGTTGTCCTGCAGAGTTTAGCTCCAGCTTGCCTCAACACACCTGACTGGAAGTTCCTATGCCTAGTAAGAGCTTGATTAGCTGGTTCAGGTGTGTTTAATTAGGGTTGGAGCTAAACTCTGCAGGATACAGGCCCTCCAGGACCGAGTTTGGACAACCCTGATTTACACTATTTACGCGAATCGGTGGGCGGGGCTAAACAGGCAGTGATGTAGAAGCAGGCCTGCGGAGGCGGTGCTTAGCCACACTATTAAGTCATAAAGTGGCACATTCCACAACCTGTCGTTTGAGCAGATTGGCTTCAATATAAGCTGTTTTTAGACTAACGAGAAAGTTGAGTTCTGAAACTTACAGGATGTTTTTATAGTACAGTTAACATGTCAAAACATCAAGGGAATTTTAATTTCTCAGTTCATTACCCTTTTATGTCAGAATGTGACTGTGCATCCACAAAGAGTAATGCATTTTTCACCTTACTGTAGATTTAAATCACAAATAGTTTTAATGCAAGTTAACCGAGTTTGAGGCGACGGGCTGTGCGAAACAAACATCAAACGACTGGACCTCAAACTACTCAAAAGAAGAAGAAAAAAAAGTCCCCCTCAGCCCCTCCCTTAAAAGTAATTGCAAATTGGCATACTATTAAAGTTTATATAAATCAAACTAGGCATGTTTAGGTGAAAACAGTTTATTAAAATGAACGTATTTACAGACAAAATGAAGTTTTTTAGGATTAACAAGACCAAATAATCTAAACAGTAACCCATCAATGTAGTTGAAGTAACACAAAAGTCAGAATTATACATTATTAACTAAGGACATCAGATGAACTGGACAAAGATTGTTTTAATGCTACAAACAGGGTTGGAGATTTAGAAGGCATGTGTACATTTAAATCATCATTTGCTTCCAGTTTTAAGCATGGTTAAATTCAAGATTTGACAAGATTGGGCAAAGCAAAAAAAATGGGAGAATTTAAAATCTGCAAAATAAAAAAAGTTACTGGAGCACAAACACTATTATGATGATGAGATTATGAAATATTGTTTGGATGGATAAAATGATTTAAAAGTAAAGAAAAAAAATCTTCCAACCCTAACTGGATACAGACGAACATGAATAGCAGCAGGTTTTCTGTGGCAAGCTCACCATTGCCTCCAAAGTGCTCATTTAATGGCAATCCAACTCAAGCCCCAACTTCTGTGGCCCAACAGGCATTTATCACAGGCAGTAAGGTGCACAAATCTTTGATCTGGTACATTCACATATCAGGGCTCAATAGAGGCACACATCTCTCATTTGGTAGAGCAACACTGCACCTCTGAGAAAGCAAGTGCAGGGAGACCATTTTGATCCTTACCTATGGAACTTAAAGCAAAGATTAGGAAGACTATACTATACTTCTATACTAAAAATGTGTCTATCTTTAGGCAATTCTGTTAAGAGATTTTGAGAAGGCAAACCTAAATGGTTATGCAGATCTGCATTATGTTATCAGAGTGCCAATACAATGCAGAAGGACCCAAGCTTCAGTAAAGACAATGGTACTTGTACCAAACAGTATAAGCACTATAAGTCACAAAACAGTCCGTGTCATCCTTCTGGCTACAGACAAAACTGTCTGTGTTCCCAAGTCTTTGATAAGCACCACTGTAGTTCCCACTTAGAACTGGTCATCTCCTTAATCTGGGGTTCAGTTCAGTAAATGGTGAGACTAACGGAACGGTTCATCTTTTTCCCGATGAGCCGAGAAGTTCTGGAGCTGGATTGGACTGTGGCACGTGTAAGAACACGGTCTGTGGACAGAACCTTCTCTTCTGCTGCAGCCTTTGCCATCTGAGCTTTCTTTAGCTCCCTGAGAAACGAAAACCAGAATTCTTATTTCAGTTAAAAAAAAAAATATATATATATTTTTTATAACAAGTAAAATACTTCTAAATTAAGCATGAAATCTGTCCATATAAATGGAAGAATATATGACTTACTTCTGCAGAAGTGCATTCTTGAATCTCTCAGCGTTGAGCTCTACACGCAGCTGGTCAGCACTCATTCTGGAAGCAGTCAGAAGAACGGGATGTCTGATGAGGTCAGAGGTTGAGGGTCGCCGTGTCGGGTCAGGATGGATCATAAGCTGTAAGGAGGATATATGCACATTTTAATCAAACGTTCAAGACACCAATCAATGCAGTTCTGGCGGAAATTGAAAGCACTAAGAGAGAAGTTTATATGATTAATTCTATCTAGGATTGATTTGTAGTAGAAACCCTACCTTTAATAAGCTTAAAAATTCCTGAGAAAGCACTTGTGGGATATGGGGCAGGATGCCCTGTCGGATTTTATGCCACTTTTCTCAATTGGTGGGAGGGGGCTCTGCTCCAGAGGCACTGACTACAGTCAGAGCCAGGGCAAATATGTCTGCCTTTTTCAGGTTACTGTAGTCCTGTGGGCAAGAACAGCAAAATTAGTACATGACAAAAGACTGTGACCTGCCAGAAATTTCTTTAAGACCAAAAATGAATAAAGGTGTTTACCTCTTGAAGAACTTCATTTGCCAGGTATCTGCTGTCACCTTCTTCAACTTGTGGATTGGTAACCGTTGTAACATGACCTAGATCACCTGGTAGAGAAAATATTGTCAAAATCTTGCCCAGTTCATAAAGCCAAATCTCTATAAAACTTTACCATCATCTGGGGATGCAATTTTAGTATCTTACCTATTTTGTACACTACTCTTGTGGTGGGACCATCTTCTTCGTCTTCAAATTCCTCTACGGTGGCAGCAGGTTTGCGTGAAATGAATATATTGCCTGAAAATTTTTTTTAATATATATATATATATAAATTACGACATTATAACTCTAAAATACATCAAAAAGATATTTTAAAGGGTGTGATGAGCATATACATACTTGGCTTGATATCCATGTGAACAAGTGCTGTAGAGTGAATGTACTTGAGTCCACGAGAGACTTGCAGCAGCAGATCCTTCAGCTCCATCTCAGACAGGAAGTGTAAGAGTCTATTGTTCTCAGCAATAACATCAAACAGGGTTCCTCCATTGCAGTACTCGTTCTGGATCAGCATGTGGTCATCTTCTGCCCAAGCAGAATAATACCTCACCACGTGGGGGTGCTGTCCAAGAACTGCATGTGCATATACCTCACGAAGTGCATTTTGCCTATTAGGGTAGAATTCATAGGAATAAATAAAAAGCACTAAGAATCTCCATTTAATAGCTGGTGTTACGGAGTATAAAACAGTATTCAAAAAGATGTTGTTCACTTACTCATCCACAGAGCCTGCCAAGGGCTTTTTAGAACGCTTGATGGCATAGATACAGCCGTCCAACCTCTTGACACATTTGAAAACAGAACCAAACTCTCCAGATCCAATCTTCTCCAGCTCATGGAATTCAGATGCATATCTGGACATCATGTTATTCTCCATCATAGTGATCCTCTGTGGGGAAAATCAGTTTTTACTAAACATGAAAATAAACCAGTACTGAACTAGAAAGTCAAGTAGGGATGCATC